AAACTATATTTTTTTCTACATCCATTTTAGTTTCTCTCACTGAACAATTCAAATCTATTCATCCATCTATAACCGATTTGATTGATGGATCGAACAATATCACCTGATTTTGAAGCCTTTGGTTAACACACTATCCCAACCAGGAACAATATGGACATGTATAGCTCATATAATAGCAGGAGTCATTGGTGCTGGTGTTCTATCCCTGGCATGGAGCACTGCACAATTGGGATGGATTGCAGGCCCTCTGGCCATGCTTTGCTTCGCCATCTTGACCTTCATTTCTGCCTTCTTGCTCTCTGATTGTTACCGTTCTCCGAATCCCATTACTGGCATCAGAAACTACTCTTATATGGACGCAGTTAGAGTGACGTTAGGTACCTGAAACATTAAATTGTTCTCTCTAATTGTAGACTTAGTTCAAGTAACTTGGTTGATTTTGTGGCAACTCAGGCAAAAAGCATACTTGGGTCTGTGGGTTTCTGCAATATCTTAGCTTGTTTTGGGCTTCTACTGCGTTTGTAATTACTACTGCAACTTGTATGAGGTACTTGGATTAATAATTTGTGAAGTTGGATGTCAATTTGATTGATTTGAGCTCTGCAATTTGCTTTGTAGGGCGATACATAGATCGAATTGTTATCATAAGGAAGGTCACAATGCTCCATGTTCAAGTGATGATAGATCCTTTATGTTGTTGTTTGGGTTTATCCAGATTTTATTCTCCCAGATTCCAAGTTTCCACAACATGCAATGGCTCTCAGTTGTGGCTGCTATTATGTCGTTCTGCTACTCTTTTATTGGATTTGGACTAGGATTTGCCAAAGTGATTGGTATTGCTTCACTTTCTCTTTTTTTTTTCTTTGCTAGATTTTTAGTAGCTTACAAATCTAAACAACTTACTTGTATAACTTTTAACAGGATGGAAAGAAATTACAATAATCATTATAATTAGTCTCATCTCATTTTTTTGGGCTGCCTTTCTGGATCTTGATTTCTTTTATTGGTGGTGTATGAGATATTAAATATATTTTGCATTTTGCACAACTCATATTTATATTAAATTCAATGTAGACATTTGCCCTTTCTAGTCCTTGAATACTAATTTTATCTTCCAACCTCATGAATGCGCTTTCTATGTTTAGTTTTAGTGATATTATACAAGTCTGCTCTGCACTTTTTATTTTCAATAATTACTACATCTTAGGAGTGTGGGCCAAACGGAGATCAAAGTTAGCCGTATACACTAATAATCAAAGTCACTGTAGTACACCCGCATTCTAAGTTTTAGATAATTATTATGTTACTATGTAGTAATCAGGTGTTAGGTATGTAAATCACCCTTAATATTTATCTTCAAGTCAGATGATAATTATCACTCATTATAATTTACAATAACACATTCAACTAAATAATTTTATTGGTACCATAGGTAATGGAATGATCAAAGGTGGGATTGGAGGAATCTCTGCACCAACCACTGCCCAGAAAGTTTGGCGCATTTCTCAAGCTATTGGAGACATTGCATTTGCATATCCCTACTCTGTAATTCTCCT